TTCTTTGCACTTCAGATGATATCTAACTTAATCTATCCATGAAGCCAGATAACACACACCAACTAGTTATGAAGCAGGAATGTCTTAAAGACATAAAGACCTGGATGACTTCTATCTTTCTGTTTCTAAATTCAGATAAAACAGAGGTTATTTTCCTCGGCCCTAAAAATCTTAGAAATACGGTCGTAACCAGATACGCGCTCTGGATGGCATTTCTTTGGCCTCCAATGACACTGTGAGGACTCTTGGAGTCATTTTTGACCAGGACTGCTTTCTTCCATTTGACAATATCTCTAAAATTAGAAATATCCTGTCTTAAAGTGATGCTGAAAAAATTTGTTCATTACTTCCAGTCTGGACTACTGTAATTCGTTTTTTTAGGATGTCCTAAAAACTCCCTGAAAAGCCTTTCAGTTGATCCAAAATGCTGCAGCAAAAATACCAACAGGTACATTGTAATGTTTTTTCTTTCTGTTTATCCAACTTTTTATTGCTTTGTTTTGTCATATCCTCCTGAGAACCAAGGAAAAAGATTCCTCCGATTTAACTTTTTTTTTGTAATTTCCTGTGTCTTTGGGGTCACCCAAACACATGAGATATCATTGGAAAGCCCGGGATGTCCTTTATTTACTACATTGGGCTGGTTCTCAGGAGGATTTATCATTTCATGTTAACCTCTTGCCTCATGTATACCAATATCCTCTGCAGCCACCTTATGGTGAAACTGCTGTACTACAGGTAAGGCATACACTTATTCACATTGGCGTCAATAAAAGCAAAACTGATAACAGCCCTAAAATGCGAATACACACAATGCACCTGATTCTATTATTAGCTTAAAAAATAAAAGATAAAGATAAAAAAAATAAAAGAACAATAAAAGTCAGTCATTAATTGTTACTGTCTTACAGTTAATTTTAAGATAACTTTTTTGTTACAGTATAAAATAAGTAGAAACAAGTCTGAAATAATATCCCAAACTATTACCACAGCCCATGAGATATCTGAAAACTAGATATTTATTCATTTATTATTAGTGAAAAGGAAATGTACTGTTTGATTTTTTACTACTGCAAAGAAAAGAAAGAGCCTTCATTTATTTTATTTTAAAAAATGCTACACTTGGATTGGATGGTCCCCAAGTAAGCTCTGACATTAAACATGATCTTCAAAAAACAAAGGATTTTTTTTTTAAATTATGGTTGGTAGCATGAAATCCTAGAGGTTTCCTGTTGTTGAAAAATTCATGCTACAAATAGAACTGAACATACATTAGAAAAACGCATGTTTAGAAGGCTAGTTGTGCTGTGCATTAAGCTATTCAATAAAAGGCAATAACGTATACATTTTAAATATTTATTAACCAGTTTAAGAAATATATGTTGTAATCTAATAATCTACAAACAGAAGATTTTAAAAAGTGCTCAAGTTATAAGTATTGATAAACGCATTAATTACCCAAAAATACAAAAATTTTACAAAACCAAAAGTATTTTTGTAGCAAGTGAAATTCCAGCTACAAACAGGTATTTATATAATAAAGCCTCCACTTACAGACTGTTAATACATACACTGATACACTGAACTAGAAACTGATGTTGTGATATATGTTGATGAAAAGAGACCCATAACTCTACAGTCCATTCATGTGGAATCTGAATTTATTAAAGTTTAACTTTCATTTAAACTAATATTTGTTGCACAATGCATTTCTGAACATCAGAAACTATTAATCACACACTAATATGGACATTTGTAAATCTTGTTTTGTT